GATAATTCTTAAGGATATTGAAAAGTGCTTCTGCAAGAACTTACCTAATTTTAGTAGCGTTGGCCAAATCAAGTTATTATTGATATCTACTGTTAAGTAACCAATAACTTACACTGAAGTTTGAGAACATGTTTGCCTTATTTAAAGCTAAGCTAGCAACTATCATATTAATGTCATCCAAAATTATTTACAAAATACGATGACTTTAGTGATTAAAAAGGCTTGAATCATAGTCTGATGTTATTCTTCTTTCCATAGAAATTAAAACATATATTCTTAAATTTAGGAGAGATAAATCGGCAGAATCAGGTTTTTAACTTAGCTCTATGGAATGACTATAATTGTAGATAAGTTATTGCATTGACTTTAATTAGAACAAACATTCTTAATTAAGAGATATATTTGGCTAATTATATTAGGGAAATTCAACCATAATTTTTTTTATCTCGCTAAGCAAACACGAATAAAGATACTTCTTCTATAAATGTATAAAATGCTTTTTATTGTGATGAATAATAAGATAAATAATAGCAGTAAATAAATAAAAAACATTTTTAAATCAATTTATTTATTAATAATGTAATCAGCACATAGATAAATTATCAGTTATTTAAATTAGACAAACATTATTGTTTCATTGTGTGCTCTAACTCTTCAGTTTGTATAAGTTAAAATAAATTCTTATATCTCGTAATCTAACATGACTAAATCAAATTTGTATTTTAAATCTATCAAAAGACACTAACCCTATTCACTGATTAGATAATTTTAATATTTGATTTAAATAATAGCAAAATGCTTAACTTAACTCAGATGATGAATTTGACCAAATCAAGTTCATATAAAAATTATACTAAATGAATTTTTCTGATCAACAGTAGAATTCGTAATATCATTGATAAATATAATGAAAGCATGCGTGAATCTTCGTGTGGTCCGATAATTCTATTTTGGAAAATTCAAACATGAATTCTTAAAAAACTTTAAAAAACCCTGATCGTATTATTAAGATATTTTAATTATACTAATTGACTCTTAATGTAATTAAACTTTGAAAAATTATTATCATCATTATGTAGAGAAAAACATGCGATTTCGGCTGAATAACGTGCTTGTTATAAATCCACAAAGTGATTATATATGTAAGCACCAAAAAGACAATTAATTTTATTGGTTTTATTGATAAAATATTTTCTTAACTCTACGTATACTTTGTGTATTTAATTTAGAAAATTCAAGCATGCATTCTTAAATGTCAGTGAGCAAATTTGTATTATACTACTTCTGAAAGGCTAATATATTACCATAATATGTATTCACTCTATTTTATTTAAGGTCATGAAGGACTGTTTGTAGAATTTTATCACAATGATATGAATATAGCTGACGTTTTCATTGCATATAACATAGCCTTGTTTACCCAAAAATTGTTCTCATCACCAGCTAGATTAGAGTTATCACTGACTTCGATTTTAAAAAGCGCGCCTAAGTTATTCAGTTTCCAGATAGTAAATTATTAGAAATGCATCAAAGCATTCTTAAAATACCTTTAGCAAAGTGAACTAAATGAATTTTATATTATAAATTTACTATATGCTGTTTATTGTAATTTAAAATTAGTTAAATATTATAATGTATTCTAATTATTTACAAAATTCTTGGCTCAACATATGATTAGATCGTTCTATTCTGTGAAAGCTATTAAAGAATTCTTACAACTATTAGGAAGGCTCGATTAAATAAAGTTGATATTCTAAATAGGATAAATTACTTTAGTTATTATCAACAAGTGGATAAATAATATTATTGAATTTAATAATAATATAATTGCTTAAAATATCAGGCAAACGAATAAATTTATTCTAATCAATTGAATCAGTAATTCTTAAATCTCGTAAAGTGAGCTCGTCTGAATCGATTTCATATTATAATTCCACTGAATAACTTTTATTTTAATTGAAAATTAAAATTGTGTTATCAACGAGTTAAATAATAAAATATTCTTTAGGCAATCATGAGTGCCTAAAATAGCTTAGGCAACATCGGTTAAAAGACTTTCGAATGTTAACTCTATAATAATTAGATAAACCATATAAATTATTTAAATGATATACAACAACCTTGAGCTATCGTGTAGTTGGGCCATTCTATTCTGTGAAATTTATTATTGAATGCTTCAAATCTTGCAGAGCAAACTTAAATCAAATACGTTTGTAAGCTCAATCTGTTGAATAAGTCAAATAGCAATCGGCAGTTTGATAATTATTACTATTGAATTAAATAAGAAAAAACATTCATGACCGATCATTTGGTGTAATAAGCTTATTTTAGTAAGTTAAGCACTATTCTTCAATCAAAGGTATAAAGTGCAAAATAGTGTTGACTTTTGTATGGTCGCGGTCTTTTTTCCAACATCAAGCAAGGTCAAAAGATTACCAAATCTACAGAATCATGCTTTTGTTCATTATTAACTTACTGGAAGAGGTTTTGCTGTAGCAGTCCTGTCGGTGAAGTGATGCTGTCGACGAGACGATGCACTGCGCGGTAGGCGCCATAATTCACGGTCACCATGATTAGCAGAAGCAGAGAGAAGGTCCACCAAAAGAGGCAGAGAATCCTACTTGACAACCGGTCTGGAAACCGTAACGAGTTGCCCTGTTCATGAAATGGTTTATTGTAGCATGAAGAAGAGCTTGTCAGAATTAACCTTAAGCCTCCAAGATCCGAGTATGTGTCATACGGTCCAGTGAGACTATCTTTTTCAGGCTATTTGATTAAGTTGCGCGGATTCATAGCGTCCAGACGTGATTCCTCCTGACAACCCTGGACTACAACATTTGCACAAATTTACTGGAAACTTGTTTAGTCAGTCATGCTTATATCATTGAACGATGCGGGACGAATCAATTCATAAAGTTGGATGATGCAAAGTAAATAACTCGGATTTCAACGATAAAAATAATAAATGTAATTCATGCATAAATTAAAAATTACCAGGAATTTCGATTAATAGATTAAATATTACTCATTACTTGTTTTCGCATTATGGTCGCCATGTATCTTTGTATTCTCCTTTTTCGCCCAACTTTCGACAACAAAATATCGTTACCTCTGGTCGCTCCTTTGTTAACCGTCTTTGCTTCAAATGTACCACTCTTCCATCCCAGTTTTCCATTCCTATTATTATTATTATTGCCTCCTTTCAGTACATGTGTTTAAAGATTTGCCCGGAAAGCGCTCAGGGAAAGTGCACAACAGTTCAGGAGAAAAATAATCAAGAGTATGAAACCAATATGACCCTTTGACGAGTTATATTTCGGCGCGAAGTTAGGGCCAAAGACCTTCAGAGCAACACTTTGCTCGAATTATGCTTTTTCAAGAGTAGAGAGTTTTGATTTAGGAAAGATCACTTGAATAAACTATTTTTATTTTGTACCAGGACGTGCATTGAGTAGCCGTTACTCAGAAAGTGTGAGGGAGAAAATCTTTTGCGTGAGCCTGAGAGTAACAGCAAACCAACATCACAGACATAATTTTAAGAAATATTAATATTCTTTAGACATATTCACTCCTAATTCATTTTTTTCAGTCGATTCTAATAGAAAATCCCATACTTATTGTAAGTTAAATTTAACAACTTCCCTATGCTTCAACAACATTCTTCTTGGTTTCTGGACCGAGTGATAACTTGTTACAATCATGCATAAGACCACGCTTTGAATGACATTCTCTGTTCTGATGGATTCAATGAGATGATAATGATGAGGATGCTTCTACGGTTAAGAATGATGATGATAATGCAATTGTTACCTTGAAGATGAAATATTTACGGAGGCTAGGCCAAGAGAAATTCGGTGGAATCTTGGTAAAAATGCCACTAAATTACTTAAATTACCTTAAAAGACTTAGGCCGACTCTACCTTCTATTCCAGAATTACTGGCAGATTTGCTAAATACTCCGTCTGAGGATGACTTGGAGATTTAGTTTGAGTTGCCTACGGCCAGATATGAAGCAAGCTATTTTACTGAAAACCAAAGGAAAGCATGACTTTATAAAAATGGCTAAAAGCTGAGCCTTGTACACAAGCAGCCGCAAAAGAATGCAGATAATATGAGCAACGGACAAAATGGTTTATGCTCCAAAAGTGAACTTTGCTCAAGCATCCGAGAAAGCAGATTTGATATGAAAGTGAGTTAGACTCTTTAGAATTTCTTGATAAAAATCTGTTGTTCTACTCTGCAGTTTGTCTAAAACGCTAGCAGCAAAGATTGTTATGTTGTCCTAGAGACGGAAACCGAAAATGTAAGAGTTTCTTGAATAGTTTAGAATGTAGACTTATGCTAGGTGGCCCTCAGAGTCGTGAGTAGATGATGCTCACTAATTGGCTTGAAAAAGGCTTTTTGCTCAGCATGGAAGCACCATCTGCCTTGAGGCATGACTTGGGTCCATTCAGATGATCATTTAAACAAACAGATATAATACACTTTAGGATATGGCATGGATGCCATTGGCCAATTTAGTGGAGATTTGTGTCCAGCTGGTGATGACATCGAGATTTGGCCATACTTGCCCAGTGGCACGGCTGTTCAGGTGTCTGTCGTCTGTCTCCGGAACCCTCTTTCAAGGTGACATACAGCGGTTCAGGCCATGAAAAGGAGGCGACAGATATCAGAAAAGTAGTAGAAATGCAGACGAGTTGCAACCGATCATCTCAGTCTTTCACTCCATCGTGAAATCAGGTTCATCACGAATGAAGCTTCTTTCATGCATGGCATTTTCAGGATTGCCTTACTTTCGACGTCTACGATTTTGACAAGAAGTAACCTTCGAAAATTGGGCAATTTGAGTGTTGACAGGGTCTCCTTACGTCGTAAGTGTGAGTCAATTCGAAGTAGATAATAGTCGCCAAAAGTAGTCATCTTCGGCTACCCAAAACGGGTTAGAACTCAGCTGCATTTTTCCATCATGAACATTATCATCGTCACTATCATTACTATGGCCATCATCATCTCCGTGCCACTAACATCATCCTCATCATCGTCACCGAAATTATCCTCAACAGCATCGGAATCGATATCTTCCTCCTCCTCTACTTTATCTTCACCATTATCTTCCATATCACTACCATTCTAACCATCATCTTCATAGTAGACGTTATTGTCTTCAGCATCGGCATCAACATCATTATCTTCATCATCAGCAGCAACATCATCATCCCTATCATTATTATAATCGTCACTTTTATTATCAAAATCTTTATCTGCAGCTGTGGCAGCAGCAATAACATAGATATCCTGCCCTCCTACCACTTAATCACCACAATTCCCATCATTATCATCATCACAATCATAATCATCATCCTTATTGGCATCGTCATTATCAATATCTTCATCGGCAGCGATATCCTTCTCCTCTTCCCAATCAGCATCACATTACTGTCATCATCACTAACATCAGCCTCATACTCCTCATCATCGTACTTAACAACATCATCACTACCAGCAACACCATCAATATTGGCATTGGCAACAACATCAATCTTATGATTAGTGTACGTCTGTTCTGTATTATCTAAAATGTGGTCAAATATAAAAATTGCTTTCTGTCTCGAAAATGCTCATACCAACTAAAAGTAACATTTTTGGTTGCCCAATTGGCAACAGTAACACAGTACCAAGTCAATTTCGTTCAGAATAAAGTTCATGTTACCTAACGCACCCATCACGTTTT